AATATTATTCTAATCTCATTAATAAATATGCTTATTACTTTTTGGTTGGAGAAATAAGAAATTGTAGGTTATAAATAATTTGTGGCTTTTATAAATTGCCAAAGCAAATATATCATGTGCTTTAAATAAAGGAAAATCATCTTTAAAATCTTCTATTTTCTATCATATTGGTTGTTTGTATATGGAAATCTCCTGCTAAGTAGGTTTTTAGACTGTTAATTGTAGGCTGTGAACATCATGCTATGGTTCTAATAGAAAAATGGTTTTACTGACTATTTGGACTTATTGGAAAAAGATTGAGTTCTAATTACCATAACCATCATCTCATGGTTCACACTGACCCCAGCATCCTGGTATTCATGTCTTATATAATAACATCTTCCCTTGCATGTAGTCTGGACAAGTAACTACATTCTAATCAGGAAGTATGGCAAAAGTGATGGAGTTTATGGCTGTGATTAAGTTACAAATGACGATGCCTTTTCTCTTGCTAGGAGATTCTATCTATTGCCTTCATGGCTGCACACTGATGATGCAAGCTGTGATGTGGCAAGGCCCAGGTGCCGTGGAACTGGGAGATCTCCAATGAACAGACAGGCAGGACATGAAGTTCTCAGCCCAACAGCAGATCTGAATGCAGCCAACAACACTGAGTGATCATGGACTCTTGCCCAGTTATGTCTTCAGATGAGATTCTAGTTCAGATGAAATTCTAGCTGAACCCCTTAACTGCAGCCTTCTGATAGGCTGTGAAGTGGAGGGCCAGTTAAGCCATGTCAGGTTTCTGTACCCACAGAAACTATGAGGTAATGAATGTGTGCTGTTTTGTAGCAATGGATAGTAATGTAATAACCTTATGCAGTAAAACTGTATTTATGTAAGTTTCTTTTCCTAACAAAATGAACACACATCCTTAAAAATATCATCCAAATTATGCAACTCTCTTCTTGTAAAAAAGTCAGGTAAGTTAGTTGGCAGGCCAAATGAAGAGCTATTATAATGTCTACTCTTGATGTCAGATACTCATACTATTTCTCCCTAAATCATTTATAATGACAGAGAAGGGAAATGGGAGACAGTAGATTCATCCAGGGATGCTTATGTGATATCAGAAGATCTACAGCTTATCTTTTACTACAACATCAAGTTTCAAGCATCAAGCATTAAGCATCAAGTGGCTGTCCACTGAGACAGCCACTGAGTTTTGCCTCAGAGATTTCCCTTGTCATTATTTTCTGCAAACTTGTGGGCTTACATCCCATGGCATAAACTTTCCTCCCCCTCTTTGATGTCAGGCAACTTACTTAGCTTCTAATGATCTCAGTTTTCTCACAAGTAAAATGAAGTTTTTGGACTATATGATGAATAAAATCATCTCTGATAACTCCTGAAATATTGTCAATAAGTGCGCCTAAAAATATGCACTCCTAATGGGGCCACAGCAGAAGTTTCTGATGGAATACTACCTGTGAAGTAAACCTGTTTAATATATACCTGAGTGGGCCAACAATTTCTGCTCACACATTTTATTGTAAACTTAAATCTATTTACTGCAATCTGAAGAGATTCTTTTGAGTAGCACCTCTAGGTCTTGTTTTTTTTTTTTTGACAGTTATTTATTTTTTCTTATTCTTAGTGCAACTTTAAGTATTTACTCCTCATTTTTTTTTACTCTCGTTATGATAAATTCTATTCTCTAGAGCAAGCAAGCAAGAAGTTCTACAACTGCCAAAGAGAATAGCACAGAAGGAAATGATAACCCCTGAGGTAACTCCCTTTCAAATAAATGAATATTTATGTGCGATGTTTGATGAATCTAAAACTAATCATAAAAATCAGAGCAATTAGAAAAGGAAAAATTAATCAGCACCATGCAAGTAATGATTGACAAAGGAAGAATAAAAAATGTTAGAGAAGCAAAAAGTAAAGCAGATAAGTAGATGCTAAAATTATTTTGTAAAAGAAACAAAGTCACAGAAAAATTAATTCCCTTAGGGTATAGAGCTCTTTCCTCTTGGCATTTCTGCACTTAGAAATGAGCTCTCCTGGATTGTTAATGATAATTGTCTTTTCCATAATACTCCTGCCACTTATTTCTTCCTTTCTCCAAATACTGTGATGCAAAAATATTTATAAAGCCCTAATTTATACCCAAAATTTAAAAACATGTGAAATTCTAAAAAACTAAATCAGATTTTAAAAACTTAATGAATTCAAAGCTGTATTTTCCACTGTAAACACATGGTGGCACCATTATAGCTGCCTAAGAGCAATACTTAAAAGTCCTTTTTTAACATTGTCTGGATATGCTATCAATTTGTGTGTGTGCTTGTCTGAGTATTGTGATGTTACTTTAAACATTTATTAAAGGTGTGTTAAATGGAGTGTTAAAAATGCTCCACAATAACTTTTAAACAGAATTTAGAGGTGATAAAGTTATTATTTTTATTATTCCCTTTGTTATGGGCTGAATTTTATCCCCCTCCAAATTCATGTTGCAACCCTAACCCCTCATACACCTCAGAATGTGACTGTATTTAAAGATTAGATTTAAAGAGGAAATAATTATTTTAGTATGAGGTTGTAAGGGTGGACCTAAATATAATATGACTGTGTCCTTTGTGCACATACAGGTACAGAGGGAAGACCATGTGAAGATAGGGGGAGAGGCTAACCATCCATCTACAAACTAAGAATTGAGACCTTAGGAGAAATCAACCCTGCTGATAGCTTGGTCTTGGACTTCCAGACACCAGAACTGTAAGAAAATAATTTGCTGTTGTTTAAACCACCCAGTCTGTGGTACATTGTTATGGTAGCCCCAGAAAACTAATGAACCCCTCAAATATTTAAGAACATAAATACAATAGTTGTAGATTAATGTAATATATAAGAATGTAATCTCCCTATTATACATTTATTCCTAGTGGAGAATGACTCTTGATTTATTTGAATTTTGAATCATGTGAGCTCTTAAGAAATCCTTGCCTCATGTACAACACGATGTCTCAAATCTTAGCCATTTTCCTCTACTGACGATTAACTCACTATGTCTTTATGCTTCCTTGCTGTAATTCCAGGAAGAAATATTTTCCCAGTCCTGAACAAAATACCTTTGAAGCCAAAATCAGTCAAAGGAAGAAATAAAGTGAGAGAAACCCAATTATTTCTTACAGGCAATCCTCCACTTCTGCTAGCCCGTGTCTCTCATGACCTGGCTGCAAAAAGGGACCCCACCCGACCTCTCTGGTTCAGATGTGCCCTTGCTCCTCCATGTAATTACTTATTGATACGGAGATGGACTACTCCTCTCCATTCCTTAGAAACACCTATCGATTTAGAGATGCACTAAGGCAAGGCCAGAGATTCTGGAAATACTGCAATCTTCCCACACTTGTTTAGAATAATTTAATAGAATAGTTCAGGCTGCAGACTTGAAGCCAGCTTGGGCTCACAGTCCGGTACATCACCAAGTGTGTGATTCTGTTAAAAAAAACCTGGGCTACATTTTTCTTAGGTATCTGTACAGCAGAAACAATTACAAGAATATCCAAATAACAAGGCTCTGTAAGAATTAAATGGGTTGATATATACAAAGTGTGTAGAATAGTATTGGGAACATAGTAAGTGTGATTATGCTTATCGATGATCCCTCTGCTTGATTAGGCTTCAGTTATCTGAGAAAAACATTTTATCCTTCAGGCTCAGAAGAAAATATACCTCCACTTTGAAACTTTCATGACTCAATAATTTTGTGCTGTCAAAGATATTGCAGAGGGATAAACTTTGGTTTCTAACAATCTTGATACAAATATAGATTTTTCTATTTACCTATTATGCAATTTCAGATAATTTGCTTAATTTCACTAAGTTTCCACACCTTATTGACTGACATAAGGATGCTCAGTGAATATTTTTCTAATGAATACATACTTCATTTGTGGGTTTGGGAATATAATGTCAATCACATTAAGATACTGTAGTGTTCCTAAGTATGGGGCTAATGGAGATACCAAGATTTTAGGTGAGACGATATATAGCATTAAGGTCACTGAATAATAAAGAGAAATTCTTTCAATTGTATTCAGTACTGCTCATTAGGTCAAGGAGAAAAATCTTAGTTTGGTGCTGTTTTTAAATCCTTTAATGCTTGCTAATCACTGTCTTAAATTAAGAGAGATTTAGAACCTTTATCAGGTAACAGCCAGAATTGCATCACATTTTTTAGTCATTGCACTTATTTTTATTTTTTTTAACTTATGACAAGTCATATTACTTTTTTCATTTACAAGGATACAATTTTTTCTCTAAATTCATGAAGTACCAAAGGTAGGCTGATTTAAAGAAAAATATTAAGTATATAATAGCAATATGAGGATATGGTGAAAATCAATGATAACATGCCAATTAATGCAGTTTGGGAAACACTGATTTACATGAACTAATATGAATTATTCATTGCATTTCAAGGTAGCCATTTTTTCTCTAACAACGGAGACAGTAGCAATTAGTGGTGTATAAAATATGAACAATCCCAGTAAGAAACCAGAAACAATACAACCGTTTATTAAACACAGGGGTTGTTGCCTTTCTCTGTACCAAATCCTGGATGTTCCAGAGAAGCCCACAAGAAAGAGACAGTGGGAGACAAACTCTGGATGTGGGATACGGGTCTCAGTAATTATCCCCTACCTTACTTTGCCAGAGCTCTGCCCTCTGCAAAGTAAACATTTGTTAAAGTTCAAACTTGAAGATGTTGGAGGTATTAGCGCGTTCAGGGTGTAACTTTTCCCACTTTCTCTTCTGATCAAAACTTTCCTAGGACACGACTGCAATCAATTTTATCGCCCATTTCCTTTCAGCTCCACTAAAATATTAGCTATAGCATTTACTACATGGGGAATATATTACGACTTCCAGGTTTTGAAGCAACTGCAATATTATCTTGCCATTTCTTAGGAGCCTAAATACCAATAGCGTGCTGGGGTCACAACTAACATATTCAGGAAACTTCCGCTTCGGTGACTCCCTTTCAACCTCGCTGGCGGCACGTTGACGTCACGGCGCCGTGTGGCGTGCGGACGTCGAGGGGCGGTACTGCGTTCGCCGAACCGCCCTTTGGGTGGCGAACCAGCGAGTCTTCCTCTCTGCCCACCCCCAGCGCGGGCCATGGCGCCGTCGCGCCTCGGGACCCTCTGCTGACGCCTCTGTTGCCCGGGATGTGGGCTCTTGCGAGTCGGGGCCGGTGGCACGGACGCACGCTCATGGCGGGGACCGCGCTTCAGGGGCTCCCCGGGTCTCTCCCAGCGCCAACTCGGCGAGCTGCCGCCCAGCCCTGGGCTCCGGACAGGCGCTGCAGCTCCGCAGCCCGCAAGGTGACCGCCCCTTTGTCTCTGATTGGCTACGTTTTAATTTGCCCTGCGTATTTGGCAGTGTGAAGGGCGGTCTGGGACTACCTGTGAACTCAGGTATCTGTTCTCTAAAGGAGACAAAGCCGAGAACCCGGGCTACGCTCGAATTTCTCAATCATCGGTGTGACCTTGGGCACGTCATTTCCTGAGTTCCCTAGTTTGTAATGTCCATAATTCATTCATTGTTTCTGCGAGGCACTGGTCTAAGCGCTCTGCATGTGTTACTTTAATTCCCAAAGCCTACTGACTAAGCTGCTTGTGTAACCTGCTTTCCTGCAATTTAACAGTCTCGTGACGTGGACAAGCTCCAGACCTTTCTGTGGCTCGTTTTTCATTGTTGAATGAGATACTAATAAAACATCGAATGGCTCTTCGTGAGGATTTCAGAGTAAAACATTTTAGTCTGAAACCTAGAATGTGAGAAGTGCTGGATATGCCTTACCTGCTTAACTTCATTTTACGTCATTCAAAGCAAACTATTGTAATTCTGATTCTGTTCTCGTGGTTGGGAAAGGTGATGGTTCAGCAGCTCTAAAAACTACGTCGTCTGGTCAGTGTGACGAGATAGTGTTTAGGCAGAAATGTGCAGTAATTGAATGCAGGTTATGAGTAACTGGAAAAATAAGACTTTACGTATAATTAACGAATTTTGCCCTCTTCCAAAATGCCTCTGGAATGTAAAATGGGCTTCGTTGTAATTTAGGGTTCTTTAAAATGGTGCAGTTCTGTATCTTTGAATTGAATGGTGGGGAAAAAAGATACAAACGGAAACAAATCAGGGTTAGTTTTTAATTTTTTTCAGATATAGTTTCACCTTTATTGTCTGCTTTGTATTGGAGCATTTGTAAAAAAGGAAACAAAGCTCATGAGTATTGGAGTATTGAACAGTGTATTATAATTTCACTTTTTTGGCTGCTGATTATGAAATACAGATTTGAATGGAAAAATAAACCGTTTGGGGTATGAAAAACAGACATTTTATTTAATACCAATTTTTAGTTTGCAGTCTCAGTGAAACATTAAAGATGTGTGCAACTAAAAGAAGTTAACGTTTCAAAATATTTCTAAATTTTAAGTAATAAAGTAAGCTTTTTTGTTTTCTTTTTTCCCAGATGTTATCTTTTCTCTCTCACTGTCTCTAGAGAAGTTTGAAGTAACAAAACTATCTAAATTAATTTCTGAAGATTTTATTAGGAGCACAGATTTTTAAATAGGCCCGACACTGGTGATTAGGTGCCTGGGGGGCAAAGAATTTCCTTTTTTCTTGCAGTTTCTTGCCCCAAGTGATTTTGTTAGACCAGGTGCTCTAAGGTTGCTTAGGAATTCTAAGTATCTTACGTTCTCCATTCATGAAAATAAATTCAGTTACTCATTGACCCTTTGTGTGGTAGAATTATTATCAAGGACTTTTATTAGCTGTATGGTTGTCTTTGACAGTGAAACTGATGTATTTGATCAGTTCTTTTGTAATTAATTGCTTATAATATACATTTAGCCATATATCTTTTTATTGTCAGGATTAATATAAACTAAATGCCATAAATGAAATTATTCAATGACTTAAAAACAGTCCTTCATGTTGTACAGAATTTATACTCATAATTGTATTTTTTTCTTCCCCTTTCTAGGAAAAAATTGACATGTGTAGATTCCCTGTTGAAAATACTAGAAATTTCAGTATCATTGCACATGTGGATCATGGCAAAAGTACTTTGGCAGATAGGCTGCTGGAATTAACAGGTATTTTTATTTTATCTTATATATTTAATTGATGATAATTGACTAAAAACAGCTTTTACCATACTTCTAAAAATTTTGGTTTTAATTTTATGTGTATTGTCTCTTCTAAAAGTCTATAGAAACATTAATAAGTGTTTCTACTATAGGGGCAATAGATAAAACAAAAAATAATAAGCAAGTTCTTGATAAATTGCAAGTGGAGCAAGAAAGAGGAATCACGGTGAAAGCACAGACAGCATCTCTCTTCTATAATTGTGATGGAAAGCAGTACCTTTTAAATCTCATTGATACACCAGTAAGTTTAATATTAATTTTGTCTTTATTGTTAAAGTCATGTATGTTTTATAATACTTGCATTACTAGTTGCTTGTAATACGAGTTTAGCCAAATCTTTGTTCAGTTTTTGAACTGAACATTAAGTATGTAACTTTGCTTTTTTGTTTTCTCAATGTAAATTGTTTCATAAGAATGGATTAAAAAAAAACCTATTAACTTTTTATCAAGTGTAGTCAATAGATTTGCCATATGCGCCTTCCTAAAAAAATTACTGCTAACATATAGAGGCATCAATATTTTTTGTTTTTCAGGGCCATGTAGATTTTAGTTATGAAGTATCCAGGTCACTGTCTGCTTGCCAGGGTGTTTTACTTGTGGTTGATGCAAATGAGGTGTGTACTTTAATTTTATATTACATGATACACTATTTTGTTTCAAGAGGATTTCCTTAAAATGTGTTTAGGAAATTGAATTTTTGTATTTGGAAAAACTAAGATTTATTGCATTACTTAAACTAAAATCATATGCTTTGGTCTTGTTAATGTGAAGTTTTATTACGCTAAAGCATTCTGTGAAACTGATTTGTCCATCTTCCAAACATTTTAAGCTGATCAGAGGAATTAGTCGACATTGTTGAAGTATGTCATTTTATACATACATCCTACCAAAAAATTCAACTTCTAGAATTTCTTAATCTGAGGCTTCAGTATCAGTTTTCAGCCGAACTTGAACATAAATCTTTATTTTTGAGGTAATTTTGGTTAATTTTTAAGATGATAATTTGGAAAGTGTTAGATTTAAAGAAACATTTCAATAAATTACCAAGTTTTTGCGGTATAAACATAACCATAAAAACATACTCAGATTATGATATGAGATCTATGATATATTATTTTAAAAAGCTTTTGATATATTTCAGTGTCTCACAAACTTCATTCAAAAGCCAAAGATATTTTTTGGGTTTTGAATGAAGTTTTTCAGCTTCCCTGATTCTATCAGAGAAAATCAGTCTTTATTTCATACACACAGTAGTTCAGGGTTTTATAAACTGCCTCGCAGGACTTGTCCTTTGGAAAGCTTTGACAGCCTTGAGGGTCCTTGTTTCACCTTTGCGTCTCCAATGCCTAATACAGTGCCCTCCAGTGGAAGTTTTCTAAACTGAAAGAAATTCTTACGGAATGATCCAGAGGCATAGAAGTATGATACCATAGTTTGCCATACACCTCTATTTTTGATGAATATATGTATAATGGTCTCAATTACAATGTTTGTGATAGATGGTAGAATGATCATCTCACAATTTTGTGTCTTGATATTTCCAGGGTATTCAAGCCCAGACTGTAGCTAATTTCTTCCTTGCCTTCGAAGCGCAGCTATATGTAATTCCAGTTATAAACAAGGTAATTACAGTGAGGCAGCAATGCTGTTTATTATTTTACTTTCGCAAAACAAGTTTAGTGTTTGAATATCAAGTGTGCTATAGTTTATATGGGGAATCTTCAACTATTTAGTAAGTATACTGGTGGGCTTTATTTCTTTACTGCATGTGGTAGAACTGTAACTGAAGCTTCTGTATACCCTTGTATTCAATTGAGAAGATAGTCTCCCTGTCTTCCTATTCCTATGGAGTAATGGAAGGCTGTTTCTGTAGGAAGGGGATACATGTGAGGCAACCAAAATATCGCTGTTACGCTAAACTATGTATAGGGGAAAAAAGAGTTTATGTTCTATGAGGAAATGATATCACATGAAATAGATCAGTTCAGTGCAAAACTGAGCACTATTTATAATCCTTCACTTTTATATTTTAGAATTAATACATTAAAATCTTAATTTAAAAATCTACATTGTGTTGTTATATTTTTTGATTTTAGAATTAATTTTAAAAGAAGCAAGTTTGGCCATATATAAGACATTTTGTTTTCATAAGTTATCTAACTTATAAAATCAGTTTACATGATGTTAACTGATAAATTGTTAATGACCTCTTTTACTGTCTTGAGTAGCTATCTGCAATTTTTGCATATTCTGCTGTCTGCCCTCTATTTTTAAGTGGCTATACTTGTTAAAATTGCATTGCCTAATCATCTAGATTATTTTAATAATTTTGAAAAAAGAGTAGAGTGGTCAGTTAGGTTACAGGTACGCTTTTAACTATCTCCAAATGCTATTAATGTGGAATAATAACATTGTATTTATATTAAGACATAATGGATTTATTTTTTAAGATAGATCTGAAGAATGCTGATCCTGAAAGGGTTGAAAAACAAATTGAAAAAGTGTTTGATATTCCAAGTGCTGAATGTATTAAGGTAAAGTGTGCCTTTTCTTGAAGACTTGTTTATACTTTACAAAATATCAGGTATTGGCCACAGTGAAAATTCATAGTATTTTACTATCATTATATAATGTTTTTATAGTTTATAAAGTTTTTACTAATATTTCAGTTAATCCCTACCCAAAATCCTTATTATATAGTTAGGTCATATAGGAATTATTCTTATGATATAGTTCAAAGAATTAAGGCTCAGAGATTTTATGACTCTCTCCAGATTACAGATCTAGTTGGCTACCATGCCAGGACTAAAACTTGGGTGGCCTGCTATGCACTGTGGTATTATTTCCTGTATGCCAATTTCCCTCTGTGGACATCTTTTGTTTGAAGAGAAGTTCAAACTAATTTCAAGGCATTTGTTTGTATCATTCTTGGAACTGAGAAGAGCTTTTATGAAAGAGCTAGCTCTAGTAATAATCTTAGGAAACCATAGATTTTGTCCATATCACAGTTGATACTTTTTAAAATTCAGATTCTTAAATTTACCTTTGAAATGATGGCTTGGGTGTTGAATAGCCAAAACCAAACTGTGCTGCTATACTGTATGCTTGTGTTGTAATTATGTCAAGGCAAAAATATAATGTTTAGTTTCTACTTTCAATCTCATTTGTTTTTTGAAAAAGCAGGTTTCAGATGATGAATTTTTTGTTGTTGTTTAGCCTTACCACATGGATTATTATATACAGTATGGTAGTAACCGAAAAAGCAGTTTTTTCTTCTTCTTGGAGATGGTTTCACATGGAATTTAATAGTTTTTATCATAAGCCACTTATGATAGAGGGAGACTAGAAAGTGATTGAACAGAATGATTGTAAGAAGTGGGCCTTAGAGTCTCAGCTGGAAAAGAAGGGGCCAGGGTGCTAATGGATAATGAAAAAAAACAGTCCATTCAGTGGTTTCATATTATAAATAGAATTTAATAAAAACTTGAATTTGTTACAAGGCAGTCCTGGAATTATGGTTTCATGACTTGGATTGTGAGACATTAAAGTATAATTAGCTATTCTGATAGTAATTCTGATAGTAATACAGCTTTATAAAATTCATTCAGATGCTTATTTGGTATGTGCTAGTGAGGGGCACAAAAGTGAACAGGACAGATAAGACCCCCATCTCACTGTGTTGTATTTTGCTTAGAGATGCAGTCACTAAAGAAAGAAGTAAACATAGTAATTATTGATGAGACAGATGTTATCAAGGTAATTCATTCAATAAATTGTATTGTTCCAGGTATAATACCATATTTAACAGTGGAAAAATAGTTTTTTCTCAGAGAGATGCTGTGAGAGTAATTCGGGAAAGGCCTCCATAATGAGCTGAGACCTGAAGAAATGTGTTGGGAGATATGCATTCCAGGAAGAGAAAAGAGCAGGTGGGAAGGCTTAGAGTGTTTGTCAGGGATTGGATACGTAAGGAACAGAAAGGAGGCAAATTAGATAAAATGGCTTTGTAGGTGTAGGCAGGAGTCAAGAATTATATTAAGTTAATGAAAGGATTTTAAAGCAAGAGAGGAAAATAAACTGATCATTCAGGTTGCCTTGTAGAGAAAGGGTTAGAAAAGAATAAGAAGAGATATGAAGAAACCAGCTTGCGGTAATAGCTCAGGTGCAAAATGGTGATGGCTAGATATGTGATGGTTGTGTTAGATAAGTGGGAAAATTTGATGTATATGTTGTTGATAGAACAGATTTGCTAGTAGGTTACATGTAAGGAAATGAAATAAAGAGAAGAATCAAGGACATTTGGCGGTTTGAGCAACTATTTGAATACACATATTTCCTGTTATGAAGAGGATTTGGAGAGAAACAGGTACAGGGGAAAATAAAAAGCTCTGTTTTGGACATAGTGGGTTTGAAATGTCTGTTAGATAAGTTGAGGTATTGCATAAATCTTCAATTCAGGCATTCGTAAAGAGAGAGAGATTTAGGAGTCATTAGCATGTGTATCGTATTGAGGCCATGGAAATGGATGCAGTTTCCTAGGAATAAAGTGTAGGTAGAGAAGAGGTCCTAGAAGCCAGGCTGTGTTATTGTCAGTTTTTAGAGTGTTATGAGTAAGAATTTGAGAAGTATTAGAGAAAGTAGGATTTAGAATAGAAGTATAGAAAGATTAAGTTTTCAGACAAGTGGGAATAATTCTCAGATTGTAAGGAGAGATGGTAAACAGGTTGTGGGTAGAGTTGCAGATAGATTGGTGTATTTGGATATGGGAGTTCTTGATGTGCTTTAAAAGGAATGTGGTATGAAATTCCTTACTGAATGGTAATGTGAGTTTCTGGAGAATGTGTTCTGGGATTGCCAGAAAGTGTTAACTGTACATTGAGATCTGCAGTCATGAATTCACATGAAACCAACCAGACCAGTAGCTTAGTTCTTCTCCAGTAATGTTAACTGCTCTGATTATAGGCAAAGAAACGGCACATAGGTGGATGCAGTCACACAGTTGAGGTTTTACCAGCCACTTATGATAGGGGGAGACTAGAAAGTGATTGAACAGAATGATTGTAAGAAGTGGGCCTTGGAGTCTCAGCTGGAAAAGAAGGGGGCAGGGTGCTAATGGATAATGAAAAAAAGTAGTCCATTTAGTGGTTTAGAGGTTATGATTATAAAAGAATTTTGCCAAGAAATATTGTATACTGGAGTCTAGAGTGGTGCTTCTCATTTAGGGATAGTTTTGATCCCCGGAAACATTAGGCAGTTCCTGGACACACCGAGTTGGTGGGTGCTCCTAACATCTTGTGAGTAGGTGAGATCTATGAATGCTGGTAAACATCCATAATTGACAGAACAGCCCCCAAAGAATTACCCAACCTAAAATGCCGTTAGTGCTGAATTGAGAAACCTGGATCTAGAAGGAGTTTGAAGGTAAAAGGCAGTTTTTCAGGGAAATGGGCTTTCAAAGATTTCAGAGACTATCCAATTATTGGCGCTGACAAAACTCAGTCATGCATATATGTTGAGTATTTTGCCTTGCTTATTCAGTGTGAGATCAATAGTAATAACTTTCCTTAGAGTTATCTGTATGCCATCCACATATAGGGTTTATTCTGTGCACCAGCAGCCTTGAGATTAGGCAAAATATGAATAATCATTTATCAGATGAGGAAACTTGAAGCTCAAAGAAATATGTATTGGTGAAAGTCACACATTCCATGGAGAGTTGTGATTGTTACTCAGATTTTTTTAAACTTCCATCCACTGTTCTTTCAATGCCATTATCACCATGCTTTGTAATATAATGCAAGAACCATAGAGTCACTTAGCCTTAATGGAAGGACATTTGTCAGTATACTGTATGCTTGTACTTCCTTTTACTGTGTACTTTAAACAAATTGGTAATTGTTAGAATTCTTTCTTTTTTTTCTGATCATAAAACTCAGTCACCAGGATAGAAAAAAAGAATCTTAACTTTAAATGCTTATTTTTAGATTTCTGCTAAACTTGGAACAAATATTGAAAGCGTTCTTCAGGCAGTCATCCAAAGAATACCACCGTAAGTATTTTTCTATTTTTACCGTTTACTTAACTTCAATAGTACAAAAACTATTGGTTTGATCTGTTATTTTAGATGAGACCCTTCCTGTTGTCAGTGAGATTTTTAAATTTATTTTTAGTAATGTATGGAAGGCAAATATAGTACAGAAAAAAGAAAAACAACGATGAAGAAAATCTCTTCTTCATCATTATAATAAAGAGACCTGAATATACATTGACAGTTACTGTTCTTCACTTTAATATTGAACAAATACATTTCATCAGTTTATAAGTAATTTTAAAACACGTATTTGTTTTAAATGGTGCTGAATTAAAACTAATACAAAAATGGCATTATACCTTATTTTATAAGAAGATTCTTTTATTTTGGCTGTCTATTATTTATCTTTTCCAGGTACTAGAATGAATTAAGCATAGTATTTGAGTTAAAAATAGGCATTTTATTAAGATTTTAATTTATTATGTGTGTATTTATTTACTTATTTTTAATAGTCCTAAAGTGCATCGCAAAAATCCCCTGAGAGCTTTGGTGTTTGACTCCACATTTGATCAGTATAGGGGTGTGATAGCCAATGTAGCGTTATTTGATGGAATGGTTTCCAAAGGAGATAAAATTGCATCTGCACATACTCAGAAGACATACGAAGTTAATGAAGTAGGAATTCTGAATCCGAATGAGCAGCCAACTCATAAACTGTAAGTAATCTGCATTAGTAATTAAAAAACACTTGTATATGTTTATATCTTTGCCTTGCTTAACTTGGTATATTTAGAATGATCCCAGTTTGGCAACTCAGAAAAAAACAAAACCTAATTATTTAATGCAACTAAATAATGAATGCTCTTCCAGAAGGAATCTCATGTGGGAAGGACAGTAGGTTTGATATATTTTCATTCCTGATTAGTCATGACTGATTTTATGATCCAGTGTAGACTGGATCCTATATTGATGTTTTTGATGAGACAGTGAAAGAGATAGTTCCCTCACCCATATCCTTATCCATATTGGCTATCAATTTTGATATTTAATTTTCTTATGTTTTCAACATAAAAATAGTGAAGAAAATTTGATAATTCTTTTCTTTAGTGTGGAATTTGTGGTAAAACTTTTGATTAACTAGAATTCATGGCATATGGGGTTAGCAAAGCTAACTTGGAAAAATTGAGCTCTGATTTCACTTACAAATATTTGCCTGCCTACGCCATCAGAGCTCCAGGTAATGATGAGATAAATCACCTTGGGCACATAGATGGACCTAAAGTCTTTGTTTCTTCATCTGTAAAAATTAGGATATTGAACCAGGTGACTAATAGAGGTCTCATTTGATAGTCTAATGTTGTATATCTAAAACCACCACTGTTTTGCTCATTACTTTTCTTATTGAGAGTTATAAGTTCTATTTTTAATTTTGCTTAAGTATTTCCAAAATCTGTCTATATTCTGCCTTGTGTGTCAGTATATTGACCATTACTGTATCTTCAGCTAAGATTCTTATACCTCATCCTAAATGTAAATTAGTTATCATGTAGGAAATTTGCTTTTCTTAAAAAAAAGAAAAAAAAAGTAAGCTGAATATCAGACCTCTTGGGATTTGTTCTTTTCCTGAAAGAGGGAATATCAAATAGATGTCAAGTTTGTTGAAAGTTCACATTCTTCTGCTTGGTTGAAAAAGTATCTTTTTTTCTTTTTTAAAACATTTGTTTTATAATACAATTCAGAAGTGAAATAGTGTTTTACATTACATGTTCTGTGTTTCTGCACTTGCAGTTTCACTATGTTTACATTATATTTTAAAAGCTGTTGCTTAGTAAGTAAAGGGCAGGGACATGAAGAAGGCCTTAGGCTTGTGTTGCAAAAGTCTTGGTAACAGATTTTAAGGCATCATATGTTCTTTTGCTGACAGTCCTTAGAGTTAAAAATTGATACATTGTACTTTCAGTTTGATGAGGTTTTGTTTGGAAAGCGTGATCGTTTCCTGGAAACATAGAGCTCATTGTGAGTATGCATTGAAACGTTAAAGCAGTAAATATTTCCATATAATAATTTTATTTAGATATGCAGGACAGGTGGGCTATCTGATTGCTGGGATGAAAGACGTCACTGAAGCACAAATAGGAGATACATTATTTTTACATAAACAACCAGTGGAGCCCTTGCCTGGGTTTAAATCAGCGAAACCAATGGTATTTGCAGGTGAGGAGCTCACAAGTTCAAATAAGGGCCAGTTTATTCTGTAATTTGAAATAAAAAGTACTAGAAATACTTAGGTTAAATAACAGCTAATTACAGGGTAGTCTCTTTTAATATTTTTTGTGTGCTATTTACATGTCAGTTAATTTCATACTTACGATGAAACTTTATGTTGGATGATATTTCCTAAATATTTTTTTGGACTTCTTAAGAAATAAGCTCTTTAGAAGTAAGTTCTTTGACATATAAAAGAGTATAGTAATATGAATTTCTTTCTTGGTTTCCTAGAGAGTAGGTCATTACAGTTGAAATATTTTTCTAAATGGGATGTTTTTATTCCTGATTATCAGTGGACTTACTCTGAGTGCTTTCCTCTGCCCTTGTATTATACTATTGTAGTATAACATTGTTAACCTCACATATGTATAACTTCACAACCTTTTACTCCTGTGTGGTGTTACAGACATTTGAAAAAGGAAGGCTCATCAAGTTACTCTGTGCCAGCCCTTGTCTTTCTCCCCTTAGTGTCTCTCATTGGGAGTTACGAACTTTGTTTACCCCTGTATTTAGGCACTCAGTCATTTGGATTTTGGAAGACTTGAGAGGTGAGGACTTGAGGTATCAGATGAAAGAGAATCTGATGAATCAATAACATCACAGGTTTTGTCAGTAAATTGGAAAACAAAATTTATCTTTGATTTTAATAGGTTATCTGCTCCAGAAGATTAAGCACTGAGTATAGTTACATTTTCATTCCTGTCTTTTTTTACTAATGGAGTTTCATTGGTAGTTGTAGAATGTCTTCTACTTTTGTTTCTTGAAATAACACAATATATTTTTCTAGTAGGCCTTATTCCCATGGTTCTTTTTTTTACCTGTACTTCTGCAAAAGCATAAAAACATCACTTAGAGTGTGAATCCATTTGTAAGTTCATTAAGGCTGTGAAACTGCAAGGTCTTTCATGAAGCCAACCTAACTTAGTATTCATAGTTTTTTAGTCAGTCAATATTTTGGCTAACAAAATATAGGAAAGTAAATTAAAAGCTAAATGATTAATTTTGATCTTAGAAGTACTGCATATGTAATTCTCAAGTTAGCTTTTCATATGTGCTAATTAGAAATCATTGTGTCTTCAGGAATGTACCCTGTAGACCAGTCTGAATATAATAACCTGAAGAGTGCTATAGAAAAACTGACTTTAAATGATTCCAGTGTGACAGTTCATCGGGATAGTAGCCTTGCCTTAGGTGCTGGCTGGAGGTAAGAGTCAGTTACATTGTAGGGTTCTTTTTTATTGAAAAGTAAAGTTTACATGGTTTATTGTTCTTGAACATTTTTGAAGGCAAGTTCGTACTAGTGTAAAGGGAATTAAAACAATGAATGTTTGCCTATTTCGCACTGTAGATTCATATTCTATGGGTAGTCTTATAGAGATTTTAAGTAGAATCCCAATAGAAATTCTGAATCTCATCTAATGAAGTTATACTAACATTATGATGGTAATTGCTTGAATGACTTCTGATTCTGTCTCTCCCCCAGAAAGTAACAATATATTCACCAAAGAAAATAGAGCCCATGGGACATAAACATTTTGGAGTTTGGCTTTTTCTTCCCCAGGTTGGGATTTCTTGGACTTTTGCATATGGAAGTTTTCAACCAGCGACTAGAACAAGAATTTAATGCTTCTGTTATTTTGACAACCCCCACTGTTCCATATAAAGCTGTTCTTTCATCAGCAAAGTTAATAAAGGTATAGTTGTGACCACATACGAGGGAAAACTAAATAAATAAATGTGTGTGTAATGAGGATGCAGAATGCAAGAGAAACTTTTTAGTACACCATTAGCTGACTAGCTATTAAAATGAAATACTTCTTGATTAGTAGCAGTAAAAATTGAATTACCTTACGACTAATGGTTGAGAAGCTATTTGAGATCCAATTTATGCAGTATTTTTCTTAATCTGATAAAACCACACATTGTCAATACTAGTCTGTTACTGAGGGTAAAAAATACAATAAACAATGAAAATGCTGTTCTAAATCCAGTACCAAAATGAATATGATTTTGGTCATAAGTAGTTTATCTTAAGAAAAATGAAGCATTCATTCCAACCTGTCTGTAGGAAATTTTAGATTTCAAGTTAATGACAGAAATATATGTATTCTAAGTGGCAATCTATTCATTTTAAACACATATTAACTTTGGCACATTTAAATATTTTTCAACAAAATTAACTTATGAAACTATAAGGCCTTATAAAATGTAGATTAAAATGTATTCTTACATCATACTTACTCTAAATGGTACAGAAATGTGTTCACCAAATGTCAATAACAGAATGGATTACTTAGTAATAACTGTTACTCATATTAAGTGATCAGTTGGAGGGTTTTTTTTAACCTAAAGCATGTTAATGAGGTCATCTAATCTTTAGGAGTCCTTTTGTTTTTATTAGTCCCAACAAATTCAGTAACAAAATATGTTCTAACATACATTACATATTAAAAGCAAATTTAAAAATGGTAATTATTAAGATTTCTTTGGTAATATTTGTTATTTTTAGGAATATAGAGAAAAGGAAATTACAGTCATCAATCCTGCACAATTCCCTGATAAATCAAAAGTAACAGAATATTTGGAGCCAGTTGTTTTAGGCACCATTATTACACCAGATGAATATACTGGAAAAATAATGATGCTTTGCCAGGTAAATATATAATACCATTTAATATAAAATGAAATTTTAGTCCTCTTAAACAGTGGTTTTGAAAGCTCTGGTTTTGAAAGATTTCTCTGTGTAAAGCACATTGAATTTATAAGAAACTTTCATGAAGATCTGTATATACATATATATATATATATGCATAAAATGTGTGTGTGTGTGTATATATATATATATGTACACACACATATATATGTATGTATAAATATTTATGCATGGAGATATAAATACATATACTTCCACAATTATTTCTATTTTAAATAAAAATAGCCAGAATTTTGGTTATCTGTATTAATCTACAAAATTGATGTTTTAGCCCAAAGAAATTTGATGTTTTTATCCTCAATAGCTTAAGTATCATTCCTTTTAGCTCTTTTGAGTGCTTGATGTTGAGTATAGTTTGAAATATAATTATAATACTCCAGATACCTTTGATTGGAAGGTATTCCCCATTTTGATTAAGTTTTTGCCAAAATATAATAAATGATTTAATCTATACATTATAGTCCTCAAATATAACCTATTTGAAATAGTCTGACATACATTGGAAAGAACTCTCAAATGGTTACTAATGGACTTGAATTTTGATTCTGTTATCACAAAGCAAATTATAACTTTGGCCAGTCACTTAATTTCTCTAGACCTTAGTTTATTTATTTGTAAAACAGGAAAGTAGAACTTTGTAGTTATATTTGGTTTATTGTTAAATGAAATACTGTATAATTAAAAAGATAAAATATTAAAGAGTAAGGATTAAAAGCTTTGATAATATATTGTAAGTGAAATGCAAAGTAGTTTTCCCTGTATTATGAGTATTGCTCACAAGTTTTTACTAGACCCTTAAAGAAAAAATCCTTCATTTCACCTACTCTTAGGATTTTAAGGAAATTTTGTAAGTTGATAGTTAACACTGTCTATATTTGTTATAAATCTTATTTGAACAGGTTATCACTAAACATATTTTTTTCTTCCCTAAAAAATTTTAGGCTAGAAGAGCAATTCAAAAGGATATGATGTTTATTGATCAAAATAGAGTTATGCTTAAATATCTCTTCCCTTTGAATGAAATTGTGGTAGATTTTTATGATTCTTTGAAATCCCTGTCTTCTGGATATGCCAGGTAAAAATATAATGGTAAACTCAGACACCTAGACAGTTTTTGAAATATTGGCCAACATGAGTATACTGATACTCCACTTACTTATCTCAACTCTCTTGAAGATAGTTGAGAAACATTCTAAAGTTAGAAAGGTTTGGAGCCTGTAAGTGTTAGAGTCCTTGTAATTTGTTTATGAAAGAAGAGTTCCCCATCAAACTATTACTCATCTTGTAATGAAAAAAGTGTAGTGCCCCTTCATGGAAAGAGTTTTGCTCCTCTGTTGATTAAGAATTACGCACAGAGTATAACAAAGCAAAACTGAAAGAACAAAACAGCAGCAGACTCACTCCAAGAAGGGACCAGAGGTTAGAAAGCAAAGGGGTTGGGGAGGGAGGAAGAAGGGGATTAAGCAGCATTATGATAAACATACATGATGTAGGGGGGTCACAGGGAAAGCAGTGTAGCACAGAGAAGACAAGTAGTGACTCCAGCATCTTATTATACTGATGGACAGTGACTGCAATGGGGTATGGGGCTGGGCGGTGGGGGGACTTGATAATATGGGTGAATACTGTAACCGCAATGTTGCTCATGTGAAACCTATGTAAGACTGTATATCAGTGATTCCTTAATAAAAAAAAAAGAGCTACACATAATCTCAAAAAGCTACTGTGACCTCAGTGGTACTTTTAAAATGTATTAGTATGTTAATGTAATCGTAGGAACATCTGTATACATTTGGATTATAGAGGTATATAATTAGTTTAAAAATGCTAGGTGTGCCCCTGTATTTGTGAACACTTTAATAACTTGGTTTTCCCAGGAATAAGTGGTCATGTTACAAAAACCATTCTTTTATCCCATAGAAGTACATGTAATTACAGCCTGATAAAAATGAAAGAAGAGTTAATGTACAAGTACCAAATAAAGAACTCAGTGCATAGCATTTGAGTAGCATTTTTTTGGAGTGGGGAACAGATAACTCTAGATGCCCTTTGTTCCCTAGAATTTTATATTACTAGAAAGCATATACTAGAGTTTAAAGGAAATACAGAACATACTGGAGGAGTAGAGGGAAAAATGAATATTCACATTTGTTAAAATATGTGTGCACAGAGATATGCATATTTAAAATTAACATCCGAAGAAAAATTCCATTGTTCAGAGAACATGCTACTGTGACTTGGAAGTTTAGCTTTTGAAATGGGCTTTTCAGTGAAGAGAGCATAACTCTTGATGCAAAGGAATCTTCTTTATGTCCATTTGTATTGAGAATTTATTTTTTCTACTTCATCACCCATTTTTTGTTTTCTGTGTCTCCTTTCACACAAGACCTGGAGCAAATAGTAGCAGTGGAATCTAAAATTATTGCAGTTGAAAGAATGATTACTAAGCTAATGTTTATAAACATTTTAACAAGCCTGTCAATTGTATTTTGCATTTGGGTACAACTCTAAACTAAGTGGTCTTAAAATCTTTTAGCTTAAAAACTTAAATTTCAGATTAATTGAGAGAACATGGTTTCTTTTGAATATCTTAAAAATAAAATAATTTCAGCTTCAAAACCTAAGGTAATTCTATGTTTAAGATGTATCTTTTTCATAGTCAATTTCTAACTTAAAAATTCATCATAGTCTGTGGCCTTCTAGCCTAGGCCATAGACTGCTCATGAATTGAGATCTGAAACAGTCTCTGTGGCAAATATCTACTGCAGCTGAGTAAGAAGTGGGATTTCTTTGTTGCGTAAAGACTGTAGTGAGGCTGTATCTGATACTTAACCTAACAAAGCTCTTTGCCCTTAGCCGCCTAGTAGCCTTTTGGAGTTCTAAGTGTGATTCCCGCATGCTAAGGGTACACTAGAATACCTGTGTTTTGCATAGAGGTTATGTTTCCACTGAGCTGGCTTGGAAACACATTTGTATACTGGCTTCCTTTGAAACATGAATTAAGAAATTCTAAAGTTTTGGAACACAGAACATTAAAAGTGTAAACAAGGTGCAAGTTAGGGACTATGTCTCATCTCTTTTTATTCTGCATAGTATTTAACATACTCTCTTTCATATAATAAATGCTTAATGATGTTTGTTAAAGAAAGAAAGGATTTTAACAGCAAGTCAGGCAGTAATCTGGCTTTAGAGAGTATTAGTATCATCTTACATCCTTCTTGCTGAAAATCCTTAGAAACCAAACATAATTGCAACTCTAGGTTCCAGTTTGTTTTCAAATTAAGATATAGGTGAACATGTTCTTGTCTATAATTGGAAAGGTATGCAAGCATAGAAATTTTATTTCTCATTAGACTTCAGTTTGGAAGTTAAACCTATCTGTTTTGATTAGCATTGTTAAGTTTGACCACATTGTTAATAGTAATGGCTGATACGAAGTGCCTGTATGTGCTAGGCTAGTCTATGTTCTACACACTTTGTACTAGGCACTGTGCAAGTGTATTGCATGTATTAACTCATTTCATCCTTAGAAAAGCCCTATAAAGGTTCAAACTGAAGAGCCATGTACAAAATCCAGTAGTCTCATTTTTAATGACTGTTTTTCAGTGTCATAGCATTTATTTAACTTGTAATAGAAAACTAAACAGAAATCCAACTTATGAACTGAGAATGAACTATAAGTGTATACTGTTGTCTACGGCTAGGCAGCTGCAGGGAAGGAACATTGGGAAAAAGGTGGCATTTTCCTTCAGTGTTCTGTTTTCCTGAATTTAGCTTACCAGTTTGTTTTCCTTCACCCTGCAGAATTATCCCCCTTGCTTTTGCCTCTCATTACGTAAGTGTAAAAAGATGAGAAAGTTTGTTCCTTACTCTGATTATTTAGATTCATTCATCTGAAATGTATATATAATATTTTGATGGAAAGATCATTTTGGGGGCGGACATGAGAGGAGGGTAGAAAAAAGATGTCTTAAAAAGAAAATATCTCTTGGAAAATATAATATTTATCACTTGGACTTTTTTTTCTTACTAGTTTTGATTACGAAGATGCAGGATATCAGACTGCAGAACTTGTGAAAATGGATATTCTACTAAATGGAAATACTGTAGAGGAGCTAGTAACTGTTGTACACAAGTAAGTTGGAATGAAACTAATCATGGAATGCAAAAAAACCACTTTTGATATGTTTTTATTTAATTATTGGTTGCTCATTTTATTTGACAGTTACATTTTGAGCACATAAAGGTGGTTAATTTTATTTTCCTGTACTATTTTTTCTTTCCATTCACTTTCCATGCTTCTCTTTCCAAATTGTTAAATACAAACAGAGAATAGAATCATGATACCCACAAAGAACAGTGTCATGGAAGGAAATGTTTCCCTTACCAAGTAAGGCAAAGTAAAGGACAGTGTTTTTTTTTAAATTTTATGATAGATGTAGAATTGAGAACAAAAGATTTTTATCTTCATAAAAAAATTTACAATAATGAGAATGAAATACCCCACATGTTCAAAAAATAGCAGATTGATTAAAATACATTATGGAGCACCTGTGTAATAATCTATTATTTTGAGCCACTAAGATTATGACATAAAAATGTCTGTTAAAAAGGAAGAGTATATATATACACTGAATCCAAACTCGAATAAACAAAAATAAATATATATGCAGAAATATAATAGAAGGATATATGTTTACCAAAACAGTGTAAAATGTTTTAACACTGGTTTCCAATGATTGAGGGGTAGGGCATCAAAAATGGTTTTTGTTCTCTGTTTTCCTAGATGATCTGTAGTAGAATATGTTATTTTTGCAATTAGAAGTCATGATTTACAGCGGAAACAATGTTTATGACAAGGGAGTTCCAATTGAACCTCCTTAAGAAGTCACCTTTACATTGATTATGCATATGGATGACAAAGCTACTTTAAATATTTTTCTTCCATAGGATATTAAATAGCTATATTTTCTCTCTCTCTCAGAGACAAAGCACACTCTGTTGGCAAAGCCATATGTGAACGTCTGAGGGATTCTCTTCCTAGGCAGCTGTTTGAGATAGCAATTCAGGCTGCTATTGGAAGTAAAATCATTGCAAGAGAAACGTGAGTTGAGATTCATTTTTGTTCCCAGGGTGGTTTTAGAAATGACATACCTAGAAAATGAAAGAATACTGAAAAGTTTTAAGATTGGCCTAAGCTTTATTCCTACTTGTAGAAACACAAATTTGATTCTTAATTCCACTTGAAGTGATTGCTGTTGATTCGAATTACTTACATAACATGTTGTGTGTCACTATTTATAATTATTAATATAATGTGTATATCCACTCATTTCATTGAATAACTACTGAATTTTCTGGGTAAGGAACTTCTGTAAAGCTTTTGTGGTTTTATCCCTTCAAGTAGTTTGTAAGCTAATAGTAACTGAAATTAAAAAGGTTTTAGAAATATCTTTCCAGAAGACAAAACTAAATTATGATTTTTACTTGAAGCATTTAGTATAATTCCCTCAGAGCTCACCAGGTTTGTTGATCAGAGAGGAGCACTAACACCATGTTGAGTTTCATATTCTGGAAGATATGTAGTAGATCTGGAAGATAATTTGTGTAGGAAACTAATAGTCTTTTTCATAGTATGTGAAATATGAATCAAAACAATGAATAAATTGTTCTACTGGGTAACATAAGTACAGGAAGTATCTTGCAGTGTTTCTCATTTCCTTTCCTTGATGATCTTAAAACTTCTGGGAAATCAGAAGTCTTTCCTCAGTTGGAAATTGCTGTTGAGTTGTCATTTACCCCAAACCTAATGTATCAGTAGTTGGTGAAATAGAACCATCATTTACACCTTTATTTGTAATGGATTACATTTTCTAATACCATTATAATTTACTTATTTTGTGTTTTATGAATACCCAGAGATTAGGCAGGTGGAGTAGATAACCAGAGAATCTACTGGGAAGTCCAATTTAAAATACTTGGCAAATAATCATTCTAATGTGTGTATTGAGGTAGAGACTTTGTTTTTTAAAGAAAAACAGATTTTTAGGCTGTTTTATAGAAGACATTAAAATGGAGCCTTTTTCAAATTTCTGATCCTCTAAACTTCAGAAACATAGGTTATTTTATAACTTGCTTGAATGGATTTATTAAACTTAGTTTATCCTGTAAAATGGTTTTATAAAAGTAATATAATGTTCTTTGTATTGATAATCACTCAACCCACATTCAGTAGAGTGAGTAGTGAGGTACTAATAACCATTTTAATTAAGTTTTTTTTATGTAATGATAGTAGTATATCTAGGCTGAGTCAGAAATGATCTTATGTAACTTTTGTAACCAAGGTTGAATTTGCCCTAATCAGGACTACCCATAAGACTTGACTTTATTCTTAATAAATTTATGTTGATACTTATGTTGAATTCATTTTCTGTTTTATCCCAAATACATGAAAATAGATACAAAAGCATTTGAGCTAATTATTTACTTACGGCAATTTTTCTTAGGTATGACATAATGATTTAAATCTTTGGTAAGGGTGAGATGTTTTTGAAAATAAAGTACTTTTAAAAAGTTAATGAAGTTGCATGCTTATATAAAATATTCTCTTTTACAGTGTGAAAGCCTATAGGAAAAATGTTTTGGCAAAATGTGTACGTATCTACCTGTATTCTACTTGGATAATATATCTAGTTTATGAGTTTAGAATTCAAAGGAGGTATAGTTTCCATTGTTGATTTTTTTAATGCCCTTTGTTTCATTTCCAAGTTTTCTTTTTTGAATCTCAGCTTGACTATAAGTATATCCATTTTGATAATATTTTAAATATTTTTCCATCTTATTTATAAAAATATCTTAATATGCAATATTATCTAAGAGTAATTTTATAACAGGATAATTTTATAACAGGATCAGGATAATGTTTTGTTTTTTATAAGGAAAGATTTTGAAGTCTCTGGCTATCTTACAGTGGAAAGAGTATGGGAATTGAAATCCATCTCTCCTATATTCCTTTGCTGCATTTGCTGTTTCATCTGCTAAAGTATTAACTCAGTTGTTATGAGAATTGAATGATGAATGCTTTTTTTAAAACTTTACCATAAGGACTGGTGCATTTATGCCTGTGGGTTTCTATTTTAAACTATAGCTACATAATCCAGAATTTCAAGCCTTGAATCAGTAAGGTGATTGATAATTTCTCAATTACATGTGTAATGCAGAACTGGGTTTCCATGGTGATCTTTATCCAAAAAAATAAAAGATAAATGAAGTCTTACATTCTTTGAGGAGGTAGAAAAATTAGGATTTGCTAGGAAGGGG